TGGTCTCGATCTCTTGACCTTGTGATCCACCCGCCTCGGCCTCCCAAAGTGCTGGGATTACAGGCTTGAGCCACCGCGCCCGGCCTTAATTTTTGTATTTTTAATAGAGATGGGGTTTCACCATATTGGCCAGGCTGGTCTCGAACTCTTGACCTCAAGTGATCCACCCACCTCAGCCTCCCAAATGCTGGGATTACAGGCGTGAGCCACTGTGTCCAGCCTGGTGGTTGCTCTTATCCTCATTTGACAGATGAGGAAACTAAAGCACAGAGAAGGTAAATGACTTGTCCAGTGTCACATAGTTAATAAGCAAAGGAACCAAGATTTGAATTCAGGTCTGTTGGACCCTAGATCCTGTTCTCTGGCTCAGAGTAGTGGGCAATAGGAGCAGATTTCTCTGTAGAAAACCAACTAGTGGGCACAGGGCCTACGCCTTCTTTGTTGGGTGTTTGACTCTTGCTTTTGGGCCATTCTGAGGTCTCCCCAGGACTGTCCTAACCTTTGAGTCATGTAGAATCAGGGAACGACAGAGAATGAGGACATTTATGGGCCTCCCAGGCCTCACCCACCTTCTGCTACCCTCAGAACACACATTACTATGACAAACGCTGGTCCTGTGAACTCTTCCTGCTGGTGTCCATCAGTACCTCCGTGATCCTCATGCAGCACCTGCTGCCTGCCAGCTACTGTGACCTGCTGCACAAGGCCGCCGCCCATCTGGGCTGTTGGCAGAAGGTGGACCCAGCACTGTGCTCCAACGTGCTGCAGCACCCGTGAGTCACCCTACCCTGCTCGACCCAATCCCAGCCCTTCTAGTCAGCATCTGGAGTCACTTGTCCACCTGCTGATTAACTCATTCAGTTAGCAAATAGTTACTGAGCGTGTCTGGTATATTAGACCAAGTGTCCAGGGTGGGGTATGGTGGGGCGTGACACCCAGTGTTCCTTGTTCTTGGGTAACTTGCAGTGTACTGAAGATAGAAGTGGGGGTCAAAAAAAAAAACAAAAAAAAAAAGGAAGTGGGGATCGACGGTGGCTCATGCCTGTAATCCCAGCTACTCAGGAGGCTGAGACAGGAGAATCACTTGAACCTGGGAGGCAGAGGTTGCAGTGAGCTGAGATCGTGCCACTGCACTCCCAGCCTGGGCAACAAGAGAGAAACTCTGTCTCAAAAAAAAAAAAAGATGGCAGGGGGACCAGTGGTAATTCATGGACTCATTGACTTTCTCTTTGCTGTTTATTCACTCATTGCCTGACTTGCTCATGCTTCACTCCTCTCTTACCTGCTCACTCATCCACTAGGTCATTAGGTCACATACTCTTTCAGCGGACACTTATTTCCACCCAATCCATACCAGGCCTGCAGATATGCCAGGCAAAAGAGCTTGGACTTTGACTTAGACCCAGTGGGGGATAGAGGATTTTGAGCAGTGGAGGGACCCATGCCAAGGTGTGCTTCAGAATCATCCGTCTGCTGCCAGGATGTGGGTGCTGTGCTAGTTGATGCTGAACCCTGGCCAGGGAAGGACAAGGTGGGCAAAAGAGACCCAGCTGCAAAAAGGCACTATACCCAGAGCAGAAGCAGAAGTCACACTGCTCAGGAGCCCTTTATCAAAGTACTTTTCACCCCAGGTTATACTAATTTTCCTGCCTGTATTCCCCATTAGACTGGAAGCTCCTCAAGGCTAGGATCACCTCTGAAGCACATCTGAGTCTTGGGCCCAGGACATGTCTTAGCAGAGGTAGGCCCGCCAAGGAGCAGCGATGCAAAGTGAGGCCACAGAAGCTAAGCCTCTTGGTGTTGGCTGTGCATGTCAGTCAGGGTCCCTTTTAGGCTCTGTCCAAGAGGTCCAAAAAAGTGACTGGGCATTGCTGAATGGGCCAAAAGGAGGCTTGGATTAGCCTTGGGCTCTGAGGGGCAGGAGGAATAGAAAGATAGAACATAGCTGAACATGAGGCTATACCTGTCCATGGCTCACCGTGGTCCTTCATGTGGCTTCCCAGCTGATGAGCTGGGTCCTGCCAGCCACTTCGCCTCATCTCTTACCGTGCCCCAACTCATCCTCCGCTCTTCAGCAAAGCAAAGCAAATCTCAGTTCCTCATATGCTTTATGCACTTCTGCACACAGGCTTTTGCACCTGATGTATCTTTTGCTTGGAATAGACTTCCATTCTTTCTATCCTGGTTAACTCCTATTCATCCTTTAGCACTTTGCTTCCTCCAGGAACACTTTCCTGACCATCCAGAATGGATTCAGTGCCCCTCCCTTATAAGGGGCCCTTCCCTTCAGTGGCTCATATTACCATGATCATTGCATTTAATGCTTTCTGCTGTGTTTGCTTAGTTACCTGCCTGTCATTCCAGGACTAAAAGTTCACAAAGGTCAGGACCCTTGCCTGTCTAGCACTCAGTTGCCTCCTCAGCCCTTTTTTTTTGAGACGGAGTCTTGCTCTGTTGCCCAGGCTGGAGTGCAGTGGTGCAGTCTCTGCTCACTGCAGTCTTCACCTCCCGGATTCAAGTGATTCTTCTGCCACAGCCTCCCAAGTAGCTGGGACTACAGGCATGCACCACAATGCCCAGCT